CGCTCTTAAAAATAAAGGCAAATAAATACCAACGTATTTTTCCTGTTTCAAAAAGGGCATATGCTCCAATCAACATCATCATCGTTCCACGTGGCGACACGTCGCACTGGGTTGAACCACATAAAAACACGCCAAGTCCTTTTAAATTGCGTCAAAACACACCACACCACGTGGAACCACTTCAAACCACATGAACTGCCATTATTGACTCATGTCAATGCGTTCGTTGAAGTAGCGTGCAATTTTGCCATCGTGTCGCTCGAAATTTTTGTATGTTTAAGCGCATTTGTTTAGAGGCACTGGCACGAAGACGGTTTGTCGACAAATGGATCGATTCTCCTGGGCGCCTGAAAGCACTTGTTACATATTTTTATAATTAAGAAACATGTGCATTTTTTAAAGGCACAGAAAGGGGATTGCATTTGCTTACATGTTGAAGCATCCCTGTGAAACCGTTCTTGCATCCATCGTCATCATATGTACTCTTCGAGACGACTTAGTTCGCCGAAGAATATTTATCACAATATGGTTTAATTGGTCAACGTGTAAGGTCTTCCAGGGAAAAAAACAACCATGACACATTTTGCACGTCTACCCCTATCTCAATAAGACTTTAACAGTTTCCCATTCCACGTTTATGTGTATTCTTTTGTGCATTTTCTTTGTACAAAGGGAAAGAAAGCCTTGTTCTAGGGAAGTAACCCCCTTTTTGTAACTCACCTTTCAACAACAACAGAGCGCTTTTACCACATACGAACGGCAGTGACAACTGAAGTGCCAGAAATAAGAATACAAATGAAGAGCACCTGGCTGCGACAATCCTCTGACATGATACCGTTCTGCATAGTATTGCTCTAGGGCTTGACGGCGCACATGGGGGGAATATGCCAAAATGCTTCCACCTGCTAATCACCACACGGAATAACCGATTAAACGGCAAGATAAGAAATAAGGCTACAAAAACAATTAGGAAACACCCCAAGACAAATGTATAAGAATGATAATTCGTCATATTTCCATTTGGCATATGTTTCTACTAACATTGACAAAGGTGCAATAAGGGTGCTGCACAGAGGCACTCACTTTTTTTAACAACATTTTTTTCGAAATTTTACAACATGATTTTTTTTTTTTTTTATCACTTCTAAATTCTTTATAACCCCTTGACTCCCTCAATAGTGGATCAATTTCCTTTATATAAGCGTATGTGTATTGTGAAAATATTTCTTTATGACAAACGCATGTAGGGACAAAAAAAAAAAAAAAAATGTGCATGCACAAATGAGGCAAGAAGTCGACATAAACGCAAAAAAAAAAAAAAATAAGTACTCACGAAAAGAATTCTGCTAAATGGCAAAAAGAAAAAAAAACTTCTTATAACATGTCATATAAATTTTGTTCTCCAATTTTATGTGTTACTGTTTTTTTTTTTTTTTTGTTTTAATGTAGAACTGTGTATTCACGTGTGTAATGTCGAAGCTAAAAGGAAACGCAAGTGCGAGAACCATTTCGTTTTTTTTTTTTTTTTTTTTATTTATTTTGCAATGCACTCGTTTCGAATTTTTCCTTGGTGGGGTAGCGCATATAATTATGCACTTGTGCATTCATCACGGATCGTTATATATGTGCGCCGTTTTTGTTTATGCCGGGTTTTTTTACATAAGTTTTTAGGCCACACTCCTCATTCCATTAAGGGACCTATGGGCCTTTTTTTGCCTGTGCCCACCAAAGCGTAGTGCCCGTTCCATGCAAAAATGAAAGAAATATTCCGAAACATTTTTGCATACAAAAAATGATCAATTTGTGGCCACATTACAGCATAACCCAATGGTCGTAAAAGCGAGCAACAACTTAACACTTTAGCGAATTGGGAGGGTGCGTCTCGTTTTGCACAGTCCTCAAACCATTTGAGTAGATGTGTAATGGTTCTGTAATTCGTGCTGCAACACTCTCGGTGCATGCAGTACCGATCCATTTAAGGCATACGTCCAACAAGTGGCCCCATATGCCTCTTTTTTTTTTTTTTTTTTATTGCACTGAGATATTTGCAAAATTGAGAATGAGTCTGTTTGTATGCCCTTACATTTATACATTTTTGCGCTTTTATATATGTACTAATATAATATGTGCTATTTTGTGTATATATTTTATTTTTTTTATATAGATGATACCCATGTGTTTTGAAATGCACTCGTTCGCGCACCACGTCTAGGAATATGAGGCAGACGCTTTTTGGTCGATCTCCCTTGTTTATTTTTATATTTACCACATGCCTCTGTGCACATTTGTGAAGCTCCGCATTTGTGTCGCCAACATATAAAGAGTGCATGCAGTCGCGTGCAAATTCGATAATCTCGAGTGAGAAATTTGGGATTATGTCCACAGGAAAAATGCGTACAAGAAAAACGTGTACTGATTTTCTGTTATCAACTGCACAGTGAAAACCACTTTATTTGATTTTACATTAAGAGACAGTATCGCACAAATTTGCGAAAAAAAAAAAAAAAAAAAAGGAGAAGCGGCGAAAAGGGAATGGCAAAAATGGAGCTCCAATACCCTATGCACGTAAATCGACATGGAGAATGCAATAATGCGTTACTGCAAGGTCGGTACGTGGGTTGCACATTTGGATAAAAATTTCCATTTTTTATATTTTTTTAACAAATGTGTTTATTCACACATATGCTTGGAGGTTACAAAAAAATCGTGTATGCTTATTTACGAGTGTATCCATTAGAGCACTTCCAAGCATATGACATAACAAAATAATCGTTCGCACAATAGAGGAACCGACAACAGATATACTCTCGGGCATTTTTTCCATGCGCTTCCCATTGGGCCATTTAGAGAAATCGTGTCGATGTGCTTGACAACAGAGGGAAAAAATGAGGATCACATAAGAAATTATATGCATATTATTATTTGTTTTTTTTTTTTTTTTTGTGAGCATACCACATTTTGCTGTTTTGATGGGAACAACCTCTTCGTTAAGTAACCATCTTAATGTCACCGTTTTTTTTTTGTTCAACAATCGTCCGTGGACTCCGTTCGAGGGCATAATGGAGGAGAAGCAAAAATGGTAGTATCCATTCGGCACTGATTTCGCCCCATTATGTAGCTCATCACAAGGGGAATAAGAAGCTCCCACATGTTCTTGCGCAGCATTTGTGCACGCACACATTGTATGCGAGCTTGGCTGGATCACTACGAGTATGTTTTTCTAACAGCGTGAAAAAAACAGCTTTGGGCAAAAAATGCGCCATTTTTGCGGCGACCTGACAAAGGTGGGCGCACTTTTTCAAACTGCGATGAAACATTAATGAGCGGTGGAATCTTTCTGTTCTGTTTCATAACTCCTTTGCAAAATCGACTATGAAATTGGCTCCCATGAATGGTGAAAATGGGGCAGGTGCAAATTGTATATGAGATGTCTAAGCAGGCACAGCAGGTGCAGAAAGGGTAAAGAGGGGAAAAAAAAAAAAAAAAAAAAAAAAAATAGGAATAGGTGGAACAATGTATCCAGGGACCAGGAAAGTTGAGAACCATAACAGGATAGATTTTCGCGTGATGGCCATTTCGGGGTAAACAAAATTGTCAAATTGCTATGTGTGTAAAATGGGTTACCTGGTGTGGTGGTCGCCGGATTGGGATCACCTACTCCGCCAGGCGCAAAGTCTTGCTGACCAGCATCAACCTGGACACAGCCAGCCGCAAGTAGTATCTGAACAGAACCACATTTTTGACGTGTTCGCTGAAGGGCACAAATGTATTTTTGCAGCTGCCAGTGAGCTCATCAATATAGCGCAGTGCATCGACAAACTGGTTCTGTTGCATGCTGCTTAAGGCGTAAGATAAATGTACCAAGTTAGACTTTAAAGCAGAATCATCCTTCAATGCCCGATGCAAAAAGATGGCCATTTTCTGTTCATAATTTAAGTACAAAAAAGAAGCAACCCTACCTATGATTGTTCTTAACAAATAATTCTCATTATGTTGTAGGAAAGCTTCTTTCACCCCTTCTTTGTATAAAATGTAAAATTCTTTTTTCATTTTTTCTATGTTATTCCATGTCGGTTTGAACATATGCGAAAAAAAATTATCCGGCAAGGTACCGAATACGGTGTCCAGGAAAGGATCTTTTTTTAAGTGCCTCTTCAAATCTGTTAAAATAGATTCAATGGATAAATCTTGAATAATGCAGTTCTGCAAATAGACAATTTTATTTTGAATATCGTTTATAGCCTCTAGTTTCTCCATTATGACTTTCTGCCTAAAGTCATTGTCCTTCATAGCATCAACGTCACATGCATAGGTATTTATTTTGCTGAGGTAGCTTTCCCTTACTTTGTTTAATTCATCTTGTATTTTATTTTTTTCTATTTTCACCTCTTCCTTTTTTTGATTTCTCATTAAGCATGAGAAAATTTCCTTTTCATTTTCATAATTCTCCTTCAGTAGCATTTCTTCCTTTTTCAATTTCTTCCTAATACATTTTTGTAATTTTTTTTTCATTTTCTTTTTTTCCTTCAAATATATTTCATTATACTTAACCGTTAGAACCCTCTTCAGTGCTTCCTTTTCTTCCTCCATCAATATGTCTTTGTATTTTCTTCTTAGCAACTCGTTTAGGAACATGGTGATTATTTTGTCCTGTAGCTCTTCCTTCGACAGCTCTTTAATTTGGCCTTCAAATTTTTGGACTTCACTTTTTACAATGCCTTTTATATCCCTATCGTTCAATGGGATCTCCGATTGCCCCTCTGTTATTACTGTTTTGATGTGTTTGTCACTTGGGGGATTCCTCTGGGGTGCGTTAGGATTGTCATCATCGTAACAATTATCACTCCCCTTTGTCTCTGCCCCCGATTCGCGTCCCTCAGTTGTGTGTTTTTCTTGCACGGGGTGGGGATCACGTTGCAGCAAATTGTACGCATGTGTCTTGTACGTATTTACTTTCTCTGCGCCGCCATCCCTTTCTTGCCCTTCTCTGCATAGTTCCTTCCCATCTACCAAGGTTTGCGCGTTTTCCCTTTGCGTATTAATGTAACAATCCTCTTTGTTCTCCGCATCGTGCGTCTTTTTCGTGACAGTCACCACTTGATATGGAAATAAGTCTTGGCTTTCCTCGACGTTGCTGTCTAGGGGCGGTTCCTGCACTTCGCTAGTTAGCGGCTCATGGGTCTGTTCATCCTCCCCATCTGCGCAGATATATCCATTCGTGTTGTGATGCTCATGCGTCTCCCCCTCCGTTTCTTCCACTTGTACACCTAAAAATATATCTTCCGTGCTACCGCCTTCGTCTTCTCCATGAGCAGTCACTTCCCCATCGGGCGTATTCCCAATGGCAGTTCTCCCGGTGCTCATATCGTCGTACCCATTGATAGGGCAGCGGTTGGTCATACCCTCATCATATAAATTAAGCACATCTTTCTGTTCTTCCCGATCGGCTGAGTTTACTGTGTTGAGTAGATCGATAACAACTCTTATGTCATCACTTGAGGAATGCTCCTCTATGTTGCCATTGAGTGAAGTTTTTATAACTGGAGTTGCATCTTCTGTCTCCTTAAACGTCCCCTCTGTGGGGAGGTCCTCGTAATGGGTCCATTCGTCCGGCATTATATTAGCCACATTCACCTCCTCATCAAGGACGATAAGTGAGTGCAGTTCAGAGGGCGGCTTCTCCGCAATGTGGGTGTGCTTCAAATTGTCTTCGGGGAGGATTGCGGTGGGATCGGTAGGAGCAGTGACACTGGTACCTGATTCTCCATGACGACTCTCACCAGCAACATCTGCGCTGCTCTCCCCCCTCAGCGAGGATAGCGGCTCGGACAAATCCCGCTTCTCATCCGCACCGACAAACATGTTACAATTGTCATCACGCTTCGAAATAAACCCTTTTAATGAGCGGCACCAAAGAAGCGAATAATAATTGCCATTTTTTACAATCACGAGTAGGTACCTTTTAAGACTGTTAGCTACTCCATCCCAGTACATTAGGAGAGGCATTATCGTTAACTCTATAAGGTTAGACAAACCTACAAACTGTTTTATTTTTCCCCTCACCACTTCATCATCCTGTATAATGTGCAAACACTCATAGCAAGTGTAACAGAAAAAGGTTGCCACAAACAAACTTTTGAAGAAATTATTATTTTTTTTTTTTTTTTCAATAATAAGGTTACCACGGTTGTTATCTTCAGGTGGTTCTCCATTTGGTGAATTTGTACTGTGTAATTTTCTGTTTGCACCTATGGGGGAAAATTTGTTCAGCTCTTTCTCCCATACTCTGTGCTTGCCTCCCACAACGCTTACGTATTTTATGGCGCCACCCTTTCGAAATGCGTTTCGCAAATGTAGCATGGTGACGCGTATATAAATATATATATGTGTATGCGTGTGAGACGCTTCAGTGGGTGCTTTCTTCAAACCGGGGGGGAAAGACCTGTCAGTGGCTCAACATTCTTATTCATCCCCCCTAGCGTATGGAGTTTAGTTTATGCATACGTCTGCCGCAAACATATTGGGTTACACACAACGTGGGGTCACCAGCAAATAGGCGTCATTCACTTCGCGCCATTCATTTATTTTGCTTTAGCATAGATTGTTAATAAGTGCATGTGCTTCCCCGCTGAATGTCCTTCTTTTTTTTTTAACTACGCCGCAGTTGCTATTGTTTTGTTTTTTCAAGGTAACTTTTCAATGATGCATAAATTGTAACTACGTTTGTGTCTATTTCATGTCGCTCACATTTTGTCACTGCGTGTGCTCCATGAACAAAAATTAAGGAGTCTATACCAGCTCATAGCCACATGAGACCTTATCGAACGATGCCCTGCACCCGACAGACACACCCAAATGGAAAGAGAAGCAATTACATACAAGCAGGCATAATTAATTTCTCTTCAAAATGAGGGAAGGAGGCCACAAAGGGGGGGAAAAAAAAAGAATAACTAAACACAAGAGGGTTACTATTTTCCTAGAATGGCAAAATTTTTGCAGGGCTATTTAAAAAAAAAAAAAAAAAATTGTTCCATGTCACAACAAAGTAAAAATTGTAGCCTTTCCTTCTTTTCCGTTTTTTTCACAAAATATTCGCAAAATGAAGTAGAGACCTTTCCCTTCAAAGTCCTCTTTTTTTTTTTTTTTTTTTTTTTTTCAAATAAAGTCCCCCAATCCGTGCGTTCCCTGTGTTGTAAAACAAATGTGCGTCCTCATTTTCCACGGCGGACCTGCGTTTGCCCCTGCACGGGTGTCAGACATTTTTTCCATACAGTGGGATGCTTATATAACATATTCACATACGTGCGTGCATGTAGGAAGAACGTAAAACCATTTAGTTCAAAAAAAATTTGATTATAAAATCGTTGCTTTTACACCCTCGGAAAAGAAACATGATTGAATATTAAAACTTTTAGCGCAGTGATTAACGCGCGCGAGGAGCGATGTGTGCTGAAATGAAAGAATTCGAGCCAGTTAGGACTTATTGCCTGACGACGGTGCACACGTACCATGTGCTAAGTCTGCGCGACGTCATAGAGTTGTAACCCTAACGGTGGGCATATTACCCACGTCTATATGTGAACAGATTTTTATTTTTTTTTTTTTTGCGTATAATATATCCTTAAAGGTATGATCAGATCACTCCACCGCAAGGGAATGTTCCCATAAAGAGTTAAAAGTGAAAAAAAAAAATTAATTTATAAGAGTACCCGTAGGAATGTATTTACGTGCATAAGTAACGCAGAAAAAAAAGGAGTTTTCCATTTTCACCACATTTTTTTATAGTGCATAGGCGCTCATGGGTTGTGGGAAAAAAAAAAATAGTGCAGCAAATTATATGCGCAGTCGCGTATGCCCTATGGGTGGCCCCACTTTTTAGGTGCTTCAATTTTACCCACATTGCGGTACACGGCAAACTTGAGAAAATAAGAAAAATAACGCAAAAGGTTGTCATACATTTGTGCAGCATATTTTTTGCATACGCCAAGGTTAAAGAAGGGAAACGAACTCGGGAGAGGGTTAAAAAAAAAAAAATTACAGTTCTGTTTACCATCTCGCGTGAACCTATAATATATGGTGGAACAAAAAAAAAAAAAAAAACGACTTACTACATTATTTTATGAGGTGAATTCTGTTTCAAAGGATCCTTCTTGTTTATATTCACTATATTTTTCTTCAACGCCTTCAAAAGGGTTGCCTCATTACATTTTACGTACACGTGTTGATAACATACCCTATCTCATTTTATGCTAGAAGAAGGCCCCATTTTGTACCCTTCCCGTTTTAGCAACATGCCAAATTATAGCAATTAGCTGCGGGAGGTATATTTTTAATTATATGTACGTTCTTGCTTTCAGCTGTTCTCCATTTTTATGATTTTTGTTTTTTTTGTTTTTTTAAACCTCTTTTGTGGCATAGGAAGAGAGTTTTCGTTTGGTACACGTTTGACAAGAACGGGGAAAGGTTAACGTATACATATGCATGTATATGTGAACGATTTATACATATATACTTGAAGGCATAGCCCCGCGAATACGCACGCGTATGCCTCTGCCATTTCCTCATTCTACGCTTCAAATCCACTCGAGCTTCCCGACAGTCCACGCCAGAAGGGACAAACACTGTTGTTTCAAGCAACCGGCACAATACACGAGAGGGGTTAAGAAGTACCTCCGTAGTGGCACATCTGTATAGCTGCTCAACGACGCAACCGCGGAACCGAACCAGCAGAATAAACATGTCCGCCTTTAAACTAATCGGAGTAGCAAACAACAGGACCTGGGGTCCTGACTCCAAGAATGAAGACCTGGTAAACCAGTGCATGGGGGAATTGAAAAAGTACCAATTTGAGCCATCCATGAAATTTGAAAAAATAGGAAAAATATGTGACTTCACTAGTAGTAGCTATCAGAAGAACGTAAAGGATGCGAACAAAAATTCAAACGAAGGAAATGCATTGGAAGACGAAATGCAATTCCAAACAGTTGACTTACGGGCAGGACAGAAGCAAAAGGGACCCATGTACAATAAGAAGAAAATTATGAACAAACAAACGACACAAGCATTTGCACAAAAGCAAGAAGAAGAAAATAATCTCTACAGTAGTAGAATTAAAACAGCTGAACAGAAAAAACAAAAACTACTTCAACAAGCCAAAACAGCTAGAATGAATGCAAGACATAGAATCTTCACAGAGTGGAGTATCGAACCCACCCCCGTATGGACAGTCGAATGTGAAATCATGTTTAACGAATTGCCAAAAAAATTAATAAAAATGGAAAATTTTCAAATGCAAGATATTTACTTCAGAGGAAGATTATTATACTATGATAAAAAATTTGAAAATATTAATGTGAAAAATCCTCCAGGACTTGTAAATCACAACAAGGACAATAATTACTTAGTGTGCAAAACTATGGATGATGAATCCTTGATGGAGATCCTTCTTGAAGAGGATAAAAAAAACAGAGCAGCCGCAGGAGCAGATGGCATGAGTAGTACTAACATTGTAGTTGTTTCGACTGATCAGATTTTGTCCTGTCTCATGTCAGCGGCACAGTCAAAATACTCATGGCATTTATTAATAACTAAAGAAGGAAACAAAATTATTATTGACAAGGATGAAGATTCCATTGTGGATTTACTAACTGTTAATGAAAACTCTATCGACGCTCCTACGCAAGACAATGAAAATAAAATTAATAGTTTACAAGCACTTGGATTTGAAGCCATAAAAATTAATCAGCGATTTAGGAAACAGGTCCTTCTGAAAAATGAACAGCCAGCAGAACAGTTTGATAATGCGTCCTTTACTGCCCAAAATTGCAAGAATTTTGACGTACTTTATAGGTATAGAAAAATTGTTATCCCCCCTATAGTTCATGGATCTTCAAAAAAAAATTGCACTCTTATTACCAGAGGAGAAATTCACTCCAAACTTAAAGGAACTGCCAACTCCTATGTCTACATATGTGCTCTAAATGAATATGATATTAAGAGCCATAAGAACTGGAGGTCCCAAATTGAAAATCAAAAGGGGGCTCTTCTTGCTAATGAAATTAGAAACAATACATCCAAGTTGCAAAAGTTTATATGCCAAGCTTTGATTAGTGGATGCGAAGATATAAAATTAGGGTTCATTTCTAGGAAAAATGCTAATGATGCTGAAAATCATAATATCCTGTCGATTCAATCTCACAAGACCAAAGATCTGTCAACACAAATTGGCTTGAAGTATGAAAATATCTGGGGTATCCTGAGATACATTGTTGATATCATGTCGGAGAAGCCTGATGGAAAATATGTCATCTTGAAGGATCCCCTCAAGGCCCTCCTGCGCGTCTACTGCACGCACGACGATGAAAATAACTAAGCCGAGGAGGGTGACTCCCGGCCTGGTGCATTTACAGATATAACTTTGCAGCTGTTTCGGCACCATCGCGGGGGAGGAACGCATCTGAATTATTTTTTATGACACCCCAAAGGGAGAAATACTCATGTAGGTATCTACACGTGATTGAAAGACGTCGGCATGGGGGGCGAGACGCCCACCTGTGCATCTTCCATCAAAACGACCAGCGCGAAAAGCACAATTATCAAACACGCGCGCCTAGGTGTATACACACCTATGTAAACATTCGAACGTTTGGAAGCATGTTTTTATTTCCCCTCCACCCCTTCTTATGGTTTTTAACCTATTTAACTGTTTTTTTTTTTTTTATATATATATATGTAAAAGTGTAAAATTTTTAAAAACTTGCCAGCCTGTTGCAAATTTTTTTAAATTCATCTGTACCATAGTATTCAACAACAAAAAGAAAGGCGTATATTTTGAGCCATTTTTGGTTAAGTCGTGTGGCAGGCTACAATGATCAATACGGGTGTACGAAGTGTAATAGGAAGTGTCTACCGCTCAAGCGGGACAATAACACCATGTCCAAGAATCGAAAAAATATATAATTAAAAAAAAAAAAAAAACATATCGATCTGTTCATGCCCTTTTAGTGAGAACACGATTTCATTTTAAGTTCCCTTTTGTTCATTGTTGCAAAACTCGCGAAATAGACTTTGCTGACATGAAGGGCTCATCGTTGCATTCACCGTGTGGTTCGTCTTAATCACATCAAAGATGAGGGATGAATCGATACAGTATCCAATTAGGACAAAAAAAAATATGGTCATTTCTGTATTGGTAAGTTTGCTCCTTTGTGTTGGGGGGTATTTATACACATTGATTTTACTTTTCCAATGGGTACATGCAAACATGTGGGATCGCATTTTTACGAAGCCTCACTTGTGTGAAGCTGCAATTTTGAAATATTGCTCAAGACTCAGTATAGGAAGTTGTGAAGCTGAAAAGCCGACAACTAGCCAGCCGACGATTTGAACACATGGACGCGCATAGCATAAAAGCATGACACTCAATAAATTCGAAGAACGTTTACCCTTTTTTAGTATTTGACAGGACTGAAGAAAAGAATTCTATGGTAGGAGGAAGGAATAGGAAACAAAATATTCCTATGCATGTGCGTTCCTTCTTGCCTTTTCATTTTTTCACACTTTTTTAGATTTTTTTGTACTATTGCGTGGATGACCAGTTAGAAGCTATTTTTCACTTTCTTATTTTACACTTCAATGAATGCTTCGCCTTTCGTTCTTTATCTTTTCCCTTTCCCTTTTTTTGCCCCTGTTTTATCACCACTGTTTTTTCTTTTGTGTGTTACCCTTCTGGCGCAGCCCTTCCGTGTGTATAATTTTTTTTAGTGTGTTTAACAAATTCGCAGTATTTTCTCCTTGCAGCTTGCACTGCTTTGTTGCTTCGCCAATTGCCTACCCTATGTGCGTGTATGACCCGCACGTAACATGGGTGGGGCATATTCATCTCGCGGCACTGCATTCCGGGTGTCGCCTCGCACATGAGAGTGCGCATGTGTACCAGTCGGGATTATACGTTACACGTATGAATTGTACGCATAATGCGCTGTACACATATGTATGTTTGCGTTTGTGTACACGTAGCGGGGACGATCATGAAAGTGTATTTGAATGTAGGCGATTCATTTCCCCCCAAACACACTTTCGCCGATCGTCCCCCGCCCATGCTGTGACGAACAATTCGCTCTCGTAAGTATGCGTAACTACACAAACTAATCACAGTGGAGCATACTCGTGAACACACGCTCGAAGAAAATTAATTTATGCGTATGTATTTGTATACAGTCAAATTTGGACCCTCAAAAATCACCCCTTTCTCACCTCAATTTTTAATATAATTTCGAAAAATATTTTCATCATTTTTTTGTCTAAAACATTACATTTCCTGAATAATTTTTTTAACAGAGCGAACGTAAGTTTAGGAAGGGAACTTCGCCAAAAAGAAAAAAAAAGAAGAAAAAAAAAAAAAAAAAAAAAGTACGAGAAAAGAAAATGAAAAGAGAGAGTAAACCTAGGGGGCAAAATATCACCAAAAATATATTACCCAAAACACTACCAAAATAGTATAGTAAAACTTTCAGCCAAAATAACACCAAAGTGTTAGCGAAGCTATACTTGAAGCAGCACCGAAGCGATAGCCCTAACCATAACCTCTAACCCACGAACCCCAAGTAACGAGCACATATTAACGATAAGTAACAAAATAAAAGCGAAGACGCGAGCGAAGAAATTAGTAACCAAGGTAGAGAGGTACATCAAAGTAGAATATAACTGATCTCCGACTCAAAGTGTAGGCGGAGGGGAAACGGGAAAGACGCAGAAAAAAAAACATTTGTACCATCTCTCCAGTTAAACTGCGTTCAATTCGGCCATTAACCCCTGTGCATTCAGACAGCTCATCCATATACAATACACAAACGTGTCTGTAATGTATGATTACAAAAGTGTATCCAATAGATGAGCGTCTGTACACACACATATATAATATGTTTGCACGGATGTACGTGAAAAGACGCTTCTCCAATCACCACTGCCCGCCACATACCTGTGCACGTATACGGGCCTACATACACACGTATGTATAAATTCATATATATGAGCACATCAAGGTAACCGAACTCCCCCCCCTTGCTAGAAACTCCACATACAAACCCGGCTGCTAAATATGAAAAACGGGATTATAAATACTCAAAGTAAAAATGACAATAAGAAGACACCATTAAAGCACGACACAATCGCGCATTTAGATCTCCCCAACAAGGCGGCCTACTTTAATAATTTCATCATAGAGAAATTCGACAACATAAATGACATTAGTTTATATTTGAGGGAGTCCAATAACGTAGCTGAGGGTGTACAGCAGGTGGGGGGGGACGATGCGTTTATGGTTGATCTTAGTGGAGCCGTCGATGAGGGGACCCTGGGGAATGGTGATTTGGCTAGTTCCCATAGGAGGAGTAGCAGAACCAGGAGCACCAGATATGGGGGAACATCCCCCTTGACCAGTGCCAGAAATGTGAGCAGTAATCACATGAGCAGTAACCGAATCGGGGGCTACCGCTCCCCGAGTAACATCTACCCAGATGAGCACCTCGCTCGTGGCCATCACCCCATGGAGCTCCCACTCGAGATCCTCACAGGCAGTAACCAAAATGGCATCCTAAGCAGCAGTTATAAAGGGACGAAGTCTGAAGAAGAGAGTGGAAGCCCTCGCAGAAAGAACCGGGAGGCCAAGAAAATTTTGACCAATAGACACTATGAAGGGGGGGGAAATGATAAGCGGAAGAGAAGAAGCAAAAATGATATTAACCAAGGGGATAGGAAAAAAAAAAAGCAGTCAAGTGAAGAAAGGGGATTTATAAACTCCAAGCAAGGGTTAGGTATACGGAAAAATATGATCAATAAGAATGCCTCAAAAAGGAGGAATAAATTGCAAAAGGGTTCTTCTGTTAGGAAGAAAAGACTCCTTAGGACGGGGAAATTATCATCCACTAGCGGCAGCAACGAAGGGGAATTCACGGCAAACAAATACACACTTGACAAAATTTTTCTGTCCCTCAAAAAGAAGGGCAATTCGATGGAACAATTGAATAACAGTTTTTATATTGAATATGACGGCACTGCCGATTTAGACGCTGGGGGGGAGGCGGACAGCAATTGGGAGATATCCGAGCGGGGTGCACTGGCTAGTTTCTCTCTTCGCCCCTCTGCTCGCTTCTCTACTAACGTTAAGTTCCCTACTTCGGGCGGTGCTGGGCGAGGTGCAGTTGTAGGCAGATCTGACGGAGGCCCCAACTCCCACGCAGACAGCGCACTGGACGAACACTACCCACCCGAGACACACAAAAATATGCTTCTCAAAAAAAACAATTACCACACATATGGTAACACAAACAAGGCGCAAAAAAAAAAGAACGTAAACGATTTGTACAAATATTCAGTCAGTAATTATAAGGACCAACGACTGGGTCATCTAAGAAATGGGAAAATTTTCTCATCTTCCAAAAGTGGTAGTAACAATGTCGAATATGACTGCATAGGTTTTGTGTGTGATGAAGAGTACATGTGTCAAAATTTACACTTTGATGAAAATCATGTGGAAAGTCCTGACAGAATAAAATGCATTATAAAATCCCTGAAAGAAAAAAACGTAATAAATAAAATGGTTCAAATAAAATGTAGGGAAGCTTTATATGAAGAAATTAAAGAATGCCACACCAGTAGTCATATAAATAATATATTTTACTCTCTAAAGAGAAAATTAAAATACAACAAGAAGCATGTTATATATCCCTTTGACAAACACGATACATACTATACGTCCTACACGGGCACAGTTTCGAAGAGAGCCGTTGGGGGACTCCTAAATCTTTGTGATGTCATTTTGTCCAATAAGAATGAAAAGTTTAAGTATATTGATTTTAAGAAATCCTTTCGCTACAATTATAGCTTTTTCAAGAACATTCCACCAAACGGGGTTAGAAGCTTTCTGAGAAACAGAATTAATCACAACAGTCATTTTAAGCGCTCCAAGTCGGAGAGCAACCTTTACGTCATGAGTCGGTCCGAGCTGAACGACATCGCCAGTAGCTACAATAGCGGCGGGGTTGGCCGTGGTGCTGCTGTTAGCAGCATTGGCGGTAGCACCAAGTATAAACAACCCCCCAATGACACAGTTAAAAGGGGTACTCATAAAGTTGTTAGTACTTCCAACTACTGTTACAGCTATAAGCAGGCCCCCAGTGATGAGGCCCCCCCTAGGGACAACACTCCAAATGAGGAACCTTCAACACTTGCAGAACTAAACAAAAAAGAGAGTACCCCCTGCTTCGATGAGGCAGTATCGCCCCAGCAAGATGCCAATTTTACTGATAAAGCCACACCGTCGGATCAACCAGTGGTAGATACCCAATTAGATAACGTGATTGACGAAGAAGAGACGCCACCCACGAATAACCCCGCCAATCACGCCTCGATTAGGGAAGAAGTGCCCAACTTTAACAAACACTTTAGGAGCTACTCAACTTCCATGTGTAACGCTAAGGAGTGCACTACCAGTAGCAACTCCTTCACCGACATCAACTGTGGATTTGCTGCCATAAGACCGCCCGGTCATCACTGTAGTAGAAATAGCCCCTCCGGTTTTTGTATATTCAACAACATCAGTGTAGCATGCAAATATATTTTTAAAAAATATGGAATAAGGAAAATATTTATTTTCGATTGGGATGTGCACCATGACAACGGGACGCAAGAAATATTCTACAGCGACAAAGACGTCTTGTGCTTTTCCATTCACAGATTTGATAAGAAAAAGAATGATGGGAAGAAAAGGAAGAAGAAAAAAAAGAAAAAAAAAGGTGATATATCTGTCAAGGGCGCTAACTCCGCTGCTGGAGGTGGAATGGCCAACGGTGAAAAGGGGAAGAAAAAAAACTGTTCTGATGATAACGGGAAGAGTGGCAAAGGCAGGAAGAGAGAAATCAATAAAGGTTCGAGTAAAACTTTTAAGGCGGACACTAAAGATGCCTCTATATTGGGTCCCCTCTTGGGCAAAACAGGGGGTGCCTTATCAACCACACTCAACACCAGAAAGACTGGTATTATTTCAAGCGGAACTTCAAGTAATGCCACACACAAAGATGGTGACACGAAAAAGAAGAAAAAAAAGGAAAGGAAAAAAAAACGAACCAAAGACAAAAAAAATCTCAAGTCGTATGAAGAAAATTTATTTTATCCTCGCACAGGAGCGAAAAGCGAATTGGGAAGTAAAAGTGGTTACAAGTTCAACATCAATGTGCCTCTAGAAAAAGGGTACAACAATTGCGATGTCTATTACGTATTTAAATATCTACTTCTTCCAATATTGGAAAATTTTCAACCTGAATTTATTTTCATATCATGTGGATTCGATGCTTCTATTATGGACCCCCTGGGAGAGTGTAACCTCACACACAATTTTTACCAGTGGATGACTTTGCAGTTAAAAAATTTTGCGGACATTTTTTGCAAAGGAAGAATTATCCTAGTGTTAGAAGGTGGATACAATTTGAATTACCTTCCCAAGTGCACCCTAGCGTGTATCAAGGCGTTAATCAAAAAGAACAAAAATAAAATGCAAGAGTACCCCCACAAGCACAACTACCAATCGATCGGGAAGCCATCCACTGATGGGGGAATGATTACAAAGGGGGGTGACTTATCTAGTGCTACATCCCCTAATGGAGTTCTCCCAAGGAAAGAAGCTCTGCAGGAGGGTGTTCAAATTAGTGAACGCAATGTGTCATCAACATACAAAGAAGAGTTGACCCCCTCGGAAGACTCCGCATTTAAAAAAATGCAAAATTGGATACAACTAAAGCATGGATCTATCATCAATAATATGCACAACAATAATGACCATGTTAATTTTTACAAGTTCAAATGTTACTCAGATTATTACAAAACGTCAAATAAGCATTTCAAACACGTGCAAGGGAAGACATACACTGGTAACATGACATCCAAGAAGAAGGAACTAATCACAACAGGCATGTTGCACTACTCCACGTACAAAGTAATAAAATATTTTCTCTGCATTCTCAAGGGGGATCCATTTCACCTTAATATTAAGCTTCCACCGTATAATTCTTTTTTAAAAAAAAAAGGATTAGAAAGTAAAAAATTAAGTCTTGAAAGAAAAATTACTATATTCAAAAAGGTGGACAGCCCAGCAGATTATTTTCGCCATGACGGAGGTATTTTCTCCCATTATGGAGAAGGTCATTATCAGGATGAGTTCGATGGGGGGGATGGTGGAAACCCGGAAGACGATCCATATGACGAGGACGACGATGGAATCATGAATTCCTACATGAGGAAAAAAATAGAACAATTGAACAGATACAACCAAACGTACAAGAAGCAATACTCTTTGTCGTCCACCACCATTTCGAACTTGTCCCATAGCGATCTGTACATGTCGAATGACGATTTTGATTTTGACAGCTCCGACAGTAGCAAGAGCGGCAAAAGAAAAGGTATCCTACTGAATGAATTAAAATTGAAAATAACTAAACATGGCAATACGAGTAGTTCACGTACCACATCTCAACCTTCGCCTAAGACGGAAAAAAGGAAGAAGCAGCAGAAGCAGGAGCAGAAACAGAGGCAAAGGTTTTCCATTCTTAGTGGTAACAACCAAGAGTTTAAGGGAATGGAAGTATGGGATCTCACCAATATGCCTGATGATGATGACATAATACACATCGAGGATAACAGTAGTAGGGAAGAAGGGGCTGCTGCGATGACTGGAAACGGAGGGAGAGCAGCTCCCAATTTGGTTCTCTCCCAGAGTCCTCCACACCAGAGTAACCATCACGACAACCACCTTGGCTTCGATCTAACAAATTTGAAGTACTGCCAAAACCAGCTGCAGAACTCCTTCACTATGTATACCCAGCGAAAAAAGGGATTCATATTCTTCTATGGTAGTGGACACAGAAATCAATGGGTGCTACCTGCACATAAGAAAATTACGCGCATAATTAAACTTTGTTCTGAATTAGAAGCCTACTTCTATGCGTGGCTGTATCTATGCTGTGGGAAAGAAATCTGCATTTCGGGTACGATGGCGGATTATGCTTCCTTCCTCGAAGATAAAGTGACCGTCGAGGGCGTCTCCCTGACCGTTGACATAGCGGAAGAGAAGAAAAGGCACGCCAAGGAGTTACTCAAGTTTACCGTCCCTTGTTATCATTCCTTTTTAAAAAAAACACAGTTGTATCAACTGGGTTACCAGGAAGAGGATCCCGAAAGCGTTGAAGAGGTGTACATGGTAAAGGAAGATAGCGACAGTAGTGGCGAGAACGATGCAACAGAAGAGAACTACTATTCGAAAGAACAAACCATAGATAGTGAATCAGACGAGAAGGAGAAAAGCGAAAGTAATCACGATGATAATAATTCAAAGGGGAGCTCAAATAATAGCATCATTACGCTAAATTCTGATGAAAATGGTACAGACCAAAATGTCGACCTTAGAAGCGAAAGTAACTCTTTGGTTGAGGAGAATGACAAGGAGAAAAATGTGATGGAGCAGGAACGAAATGACAATGTGAGAGTCAAACCACACAGAATAACACAAAGTGAAGCACTTTTAGAAAGTGAAAAAAACAAAACTGCTATTTGTTTAGCCAATGTATTAAGTACCATGAGACACCCATGTGTGATGGATGTAAAAATGGGGATTAGGTTATATGGTGATGACTGCGATGAAGATTCTATACAGAAAAAAATTGAAAAGGCCAAGAGCAGATCCTGCCTGTCCCACGGATTCCATTTAACAAGCCTAATAGGTTGGAACAAAAAAAGAGAAGAACCCTTTTTCATATCAAAGGAGGATGCTCATTCGATAAAAAATGATGATGATTTTGGTGATGCGTTCATGTCGTATTTCTTAGCATGTGATAATGTACACCTTTCCAAAATGCTGTTAAAGAAGCTGCTTCTCGTCTTAGAACACATGAAAGCTTTCTTTGAATCTCAGCAATTATTTGCCTTCTACGGGACTAGCTTGTTATTTGTGTTTGATTCGGATCCCTCCAAGAATAAGAGCGATGGTGAGGGGAGGGCCGAGGTGGCAGCAAAACCAACTAGCGAGGTGATAGAACTAACTCATTTGAACAGAACCAACCACTCACTAGACATACATCAGGACAAAAGCAACAAGACGGAGAAGGAAAACCACGAAGATATTTTCAACTTTAGGGAAAAAATGCAGAAAATATTTGAAGACTCTCTAACGTTGGAAGAAAGGGACATATACCTACAGACAAAATTAAACTACAAAATTTTAAAAAGCGCCAATGTGTACATAATCGATTTTGCTCATGCTCGTTTGAATAATAATCAAAAGGATGAAGGGTTCCTCCTCGGAATAACATCTCTTATTCGTATCATGAAAAAAACCATTAAAAACATCGACACCCTTTATTGTCCCTAGTGCTCACTTTGTGAAGCGGAAAAGAATTATTCATTATGTAACGCGAATGCTACATCGACTTCTTTAAACCAATCCGTTTAGCTAATTTGCATGATGTGTACATTTATCCGTTCAGGGTACATGCATGTGAAATAATGTCCTAAATTTGTCATTGTATTTATATATTCTTTTTTAAGGCGTATAAAATGGGCTAAATGTACACCAATGGAGCGTTGTGCCCTAGTTAGCTCATCTGGTACACCTACTCCGTATGCTGACCATTTTGTCAAATTCAATGCTCTTTTTGAAGTACCGCATTTTTAATTTATCCCTTATCCGTCCAATTTGTCCCTGTGTCCCGTGACCTTTTTCTTTTTTTTTTTTTTTTTTTTATGGTGTTCTTCCGTATACTGTCACAAAATAAGCGTAGAGATTTACTGCGCATTTTTCATAACACCCGTTGCTGCCATCTTAGGTAATATTAAACATATGTTCATCCATGTTCACATACTTATTACCACAGTGACCACCACACGCGATAGAGGTGCTAAATGGAAAAATCACAAATGAATGTGACCCCTTCACTCAGCGAGACGCAAATTTCTTTCCCCACCACTTGGTTATCGTTGTAATGCAAGTTCAGATGAATTGGCCATATGTATGAAACTGCTAAAGTAGCATGGAAGCGATAGGCAATGGGGAAAATATGTTCCCGCATTGAATACGCCCTTACCCAATCATTCATTCACGCTGGTGATGGAAATTTTGTTAAGGAAGAAAGAATCGACCTCGCAGGTTAGGAAATCACGGAAAATTATGACATGTATTTTGATTTATATAGCTAGCCAATGCTGCTTAATTTTTTTTAACCCCTTTTTGCGCACAGCGTACAATTTCCCTAGTTAACATGAGAAAAATATTTATAAACATATATAAATATATATATATAAAAGGAATTTAAGCCAATTGCCTAACAAAAATGTACAATACTGTTTTATGCAAAATTGCAAAAACAATTGTAGCCGCATTTGCGTTCGCTTTGCTTGCTATTTATTCTGAAGGAGGCATTTTTGTATGGTGTTTTTTTTTTTTTTTTTTTTTTTTTTTTTTTTTTTTCCTGTAATGCGCATAAAAAATATGCCTACAAATCAATGCTTATCGCGCGCGTATCATTTAAAATTCAACATCTTCCGCATTCGTGCGCATATAAAATGTAGGGCACGTGAAGATTGCCTTCGTGTGAAGGCATGCAGGAATTACATCTCCATGGCAACATACCCCCCCATGAACGACAGTGGAATTCCCCGAGAGAGGAAAGGGGCAAGGGGCTGAGGTTGTGTCGTCCGTTAATATTTACAAACAACCCATAATATATAAGCATGTATAATATGGTATGGGGTCCCCTTTGTAAGCATAGCTACCACTTCGCAACACTTCGCGGAAATAAAAATGCGAGTGTACGAACCAAGAGAAGCCCCAAAATAGTCGCACAGTTTTGTTTCGTATTTATATGCACGTTACGCCTACGATTTTATATGGTTAATCATGTGTTTTTGTTGAATGCATTTTACAAACGATTTTACATTCGCCTTGGCGGCTTTTTATTTTACTTTTTTTTTTTTTTTTTTTTTTTTACGTAAAAATTTCTTATTTCAGTTGATTTCCCTTTTTATTTTAAGTATACCAGTTTTTAACCCTTTTCAATTTAACCTTTTTTTTTTTGTTCCCAATTTATGACGCTTATTTATATGTACTACACGTTCATGTAATGCCATTACACGTGTATAACGCTATCCGAGTACATGCTACGTAAATATATGCTTCGCGGATGTACAAGCGCGCAAGCATATGTTACGTTCATGCTTAGCCCGTAACTTGGCACTTACGTTGTAATTGTATCGAGCAGTTGTACTCCCGAGTTGTACCTTAAAAGGCCGCACTTCGCAGCGACCTCCCCGCGAGTACATACCGCCCCTAACACTTATACATTAGTACACTTTCCCATCGCCGTATTTTTATGTAAATACCACGGGACTTGCGCTTAATCATATGGCATATAATTCCTGTGTGTTTCACACAGTACATGAAATGTATTGAATGGAAATTTTTTCGTGCTTTTCCCACGTGGGTTACATTATTAATAATAATATTACACTATGTTGTATACACGCGTGTGGAATAATGACACATAGGGGAGAATTATTTCTTAAGAGTTTAAACATGTACACTTTTTTTTTTATACATTTTTGTGTGTATTTAAAGGGATCAATTTGAAATTTTTAATTTCAAATCTTATCAATTCGCTTTGCTTCATTTTATTTCCTTTTTTTTTTTTTTTTTTTTTTTTTTCATGGTGTATGTGAGCGTGAATATACCTGCGCGACAGCATTTACGTTTGCGCTTGTACATGTGACAGTTCCATTTGGTAGCTTCGCATCGAGGATTGGGTCCATGCGTAGTTGCATTTGAGTGAAGCACACGCATTGCGACAACACTCAGAACCAGCTGATCTGTGCAAGCACGTATAAACTGATCGCTTGTACGCAGGAATGTAAGCAAACGCGCATGTGCCTTCACGTATGCTCACGTTTGGGTGTCACGAGGTTATAACGATCGCGGTAGAAGCGCAGGAAAGAGTGGAATGCTGAGGAGCACACGAACAGGAACTTCCCGAGCAACTCGCGAAGCACCTCGTGGACGCGCATGCAAACCTTTCCGACTTGCACCAACCTACCTTCACCCCGTCCCATGTAATGCACATTTATAATGGATAGGGGAAGAAATAATGGAAGGAGAAACAACGATGTGATGAACGCACTAAGGGAAGGGAACATAAAAAATGAAAATGTAGACGAACATCAATTCTGGACCAACATCGACAATCAGTACTTCTCCAATTTTGACAAGAGATTAATTTCTGCCTTTGAGGACCACATCAAATGCACGGATTACATATGTAACAAAATAAAAAACGAAAAAATTAATAAAAAAATTTTCCAAAACATTAACTGTTATACCAGTTCAGTAAAAATAAAATTAAATCCAAGTGAACGAAATAATGACACATCCAACATTACCGATTACATTTCTCAAAATAAAAACTTCATTTTTAAAAACGAACAAGATGAAAAAGGGAACGAAAATAATCGAGCAGTTTTCCCCTTTATGGATATTGCAAATGATATAAAAAAGGAGGAAAATGGTTTCGGTTTTAATCCAAAAAGTTATCCATATGGCATTGATAAAAAAATTACCAATCATGAAAATGCCTTATCATTTGAACAAAGAAAAAGTATTATCGACTTTATGCCAATGGCCAGAAATGAATTCTTATTGAATACTGTGCATCATCAGAATTTGAGGAATAGCCATCCTACTGGACTCCCTTTCCATATGGGCAGAAATATGAGCCCTATTCAACCGAATAATGTCAAGGAAAACAATTTCTTCATGAGGGCACTCCCCATGCCCACTCCTCCCACCCCTTTTGGAGATGCCAATATGTTTGAAATTCAGGAGAATTTCAGAAATGGGCATCCGAACAATGTGGATCACCTCGATTACGTCGTTTCCCCCCCCGGGGGTGCGACTCACCATGTCAGTGTAAGGAATGCGAATACCCCCTTTGTGAATATAGTAGACAGCAGTGTTAGTCATGGCGTCAACAACAATGTGAGTAACCACGTGTCCACTTACACACAGTTTAAAAATACCTCCAAGGAACCAAATATGATGCCTGAATTTAACAAGATGGGGAAGGAGCTGGAGGAAGTAAATGCTGGCTCGACTCTAAACAGTGAAACCTCACTTACAAATGTCGTGTCCACAATTAACGATCGCAATGTTAGCAAATTGGAAGAGGAGGAGAATAACGGTGCGAAAAATATAGAGCACCATGATGACACAAACGCCTGCGTCAATCCAGAAATTGGAAGCCCAAATGGGAGTATTCTCCCGAACGGCTCAAATGACTCAAACAATTTAATGAGTAACAAATTGAACGGGGAACACGAAGTAGGTTTCCCCAACAGCAATGCCCTGCACCCCTGTAACGTAGAAAATGTGAACGCAGAAAATGTGAACGCAGAAAATGTGAATGCAGAAAATGGAAACGCAGAAAATGGAAACGCAGAAAATGCCAACACAGAAAATAGCAGCGAACTGCCTGACTACGAGAAGGACTGTAACTTGCCTAACTCCAACATGGCGAACCATTTGAGCGAGAATTTGACCCGTGCCAATGTGGACCCCACGAAAACACAGGGCAACAACGACGGGAGGAATCATGTGGACAATCCAACCGGCCAAAATAGACTCGAAAATTTCAACACTATAAATAACACACACAGCTTTGACACCTGCAACAATTATGCAATGTTTAATAACTGCTTTGGTAATAACAATTCCTTTCACAAAAGCAACGATGTTGGTGCCGGAATGAACATGGGCATGAATGTAAATATGCAAATGCAAAACAACTGTTTGCTTATGAATAGCCAATTCGAGAACAAGATGAGTGAAGAAATGAATATGTTTCCCTGTGCGCTTTCCGATATGACTAGTGGCATGTTTAATGCTGCGAATAATGGAGAAGGGTTCAATGGCCCTCAAGACGACAACTACAATGGGGGTAAGAATGGGGTGAAATGTGGTACTACTTTGAGCAGCAATAATGTAAGTGGCACCGCAAAGGTGGGGACCAGAAATATTCCCAATTTTGTAAACACGCAAAATAATAAAGGTGTAATGAATTTGGAGCATCTCCACATGAACAGTCATCATATGAATCATGGCATTCATGAACAGCACCCCTCGATGTTCTATGACAAACAGGGAAACAATAAATTCCCGATGCAGAATTATCCCATGCCAAATGGCCAACTCAATTTAAACAACGGAATTGGTCCTTACAAAAATGAAATGATGTATGGTAAACAGTTTATGTTTCCTCCCCCTCCTTCCATGTATGGTAAAGGATTTTACAATCCAGCCGATTTCATGAATTACCAAAATATGATGATGCTACATAGGGGTGATCGCAACATGGGCTATCCTTATGACCAATCGCTTAACGCTAAAAATGCAAAAGTTGTCTCCAAAAAGGGGAGTGAAACAAAGTTAAAAAAAAATATCGAAAACGATGATCATTTCAAATCGCAAATGGAAAAAGGGACGACACCCTCGAAATCCAGTAGAACGAACAAGCACGACTCCAACTTCTTTAACCCCTTTTTGAATAAAAAATATGATGGGGTTGGTAGGCTGCCCTACATTCAAAACAAACCCGTGCCTAACGGATTACACATCTCCATTTATATTCCAAAAAATTATGACTTTAGCGAAAAAACCAGCACGGACGATGAGAAACCCGGAGATACAGAAAAGGGCAACGGTTGGGATAAGGCATTTGTGAAGCGAAACAGCATTGTGAATGGAAGCGCTGGTAAGGAAGAACAGCTGCTTAAGGAGGAAGAGGACCTCCACGAGAAGGAAGCGCTAGCCAAATTGCTTACCGAAATCACTTTTGGCGATCGAAGGAACATACTGAACCCTAAAATGTCCGTGCAAGATAAGGAAAAATGTTACAACAGCATTTTGGACGAATTGAAGAATTATGCCTCCTTGCCAATTATCCTGGGCAATATTTTGCCCTACTGGGAAAAGCAAAAAAATAAAAATTTACTTTATAAGGTAAAAAATTTGAAACTGAACAATGCCAAGTCCAAGTACATTCACATTAAAAATGTCAATAAGAAGATAGCATGCAGGAAAATTAGGAAGAAGAAAAAAAGCCTATCATTACGTAATGACCCTAATGGGAAATTTATAAAGAAGAAGAAGAAAAAAAAAAAAAAAAAAAAAATTACAGATGGTGCCTCCCTAACGATCAAGCTTGAGGACAAGGCAAATGATGTAGACAAAATAGAAGATGAATTTGTGAACAAATGTTTGGACAATTTAGAAAAGGCAAAATACAATTTTGGTAACAATACCAACAGCTTAGAACTGACTGACGCCGAGTTAAAGAAGGCGCACAACGAAAATAAGGATGACGAATCTGCAAATAATGTGGATAGTAGCGAAGCGAAGGAGGAGTCCAGTAAATCGGTACAGGTGCAGATAGAGCATTCGGGCAGCGACGTCAGGGAGGAGGATGAGGAGGACGACGACGACGTAGAGGAGCTTCCTCTCAGTGAGGAGGCTGAGGAAGAGAACACTGATGGCGCATCACAGTGGAACCCTCCTTCAGTACGAAGAATTGCAGAAGTAGAAGATTTAACGGATGAGAGAAAACATACATATATACAAAGCGAAGACATGGGAGTGGCAGAAATTATCCTCTTAAGCGACACCAATGAGGATAAGCCTAGCCATGCGGCTAATAGCCAAATGGAAGAGTCGTTAATAATTTGTCCTCCTAGCAATATGAGCGAGAGCAAGGAATCGCAGGATCCTTTGCCCATGGAGGAAGGAGCCTCAGCCTCTTGTGCAGTGATCAATCAAATAGACCTAGAAGCTACTAACCAGGAAGATCTTCCACCCAGTAACACATGCCAGGGTCAAGATAGCAACTCGAAAGAAACGCAAAAGAAAAACCAACAAAGTGTTTACCATGAAAGTCAGAGAAAATCATTCTATAAGAAAAAACTACAATTGAAGAAGCAAAATAGATATCACAAATTTCAATTTCTAAGGAAATTCAAATTCTCCATCCCGAATAATGCCACGGTGCCTTTTAATAGTTCCATTTTTTCGCTGCAAAGAAATCAATACAAATCGAGCACATATTTCGAGTTCATATTAACAAATTTAAACCTGGACAAATATCGAAAGAACATTTTGAATGTGAATTATAACAACAGCAATTCTGTCACGAATAAGGCGCGTGCTTATTGTATAAATTTTAACAAATTAAAAAATCGAAAGAAGAAACTAGTGAAGAGGAATACCTCAGGGGTGGACGAAATGAAGCCGAGCACCTCTTCCCCCGCCTCTGGATTGAAGCAGAATTGTAACAATGACCAGGACAAAGAGGCACGCTGTGTGTCCAGTGATAACAACTCTCCACTTGGTGAGATACACAATGGAGCTACTTCGGAATTCGCCATGAGGGCAAGCAGCAATGACGCAGGAATTCTCTTACCGGGGGAGAGCAGTGGATGTGCAGTCGTGGACTACACCAATGAGAAGAACTTAAAAAATGAGAATGACGAGAAGAATGCGAAAAACATGAAAAACATTAATAAGGAAATATGCGTGCTCTTTTCCCGATATGTGCACAACATAAAGGAACAGAGGAAAATTCTGACCAAACTGCTAGATAGCATAAAGAACGAAAAGAAGAAGCCTTACAAGTACTGGTACTCCATCGAGGACAAAATGATCAACTTTTACATCAATGAGTATTTAAAAAATAAATTAAACACAAAACATACCTATACCTTGTCCAAGCAGATTGTAGATTTGCTAAAGTTAAGAATATTAATTAACAACAGCTCACAGTTACCAAATAACTGGACTGAAAAGGCCCTATGTAATATTTGCAGTTTAGGAGAGGATTGGGAAGATAACCCCATAGTTTTCTGTGACTGCTGTTACACACCCATGCACTCATTTTGCACCGGCTCCAGGAATATTAAAAATTATAACATTCCTAGGAGAAGCTCACAGAATTCGGACAAAAACGAATCAGAGGGGGTAAGCGGTAAGCAGTACCAAAACCCCGTTTGGGCTGCCAACAGTGCAAGTAAGAGAAACGATCACAAGAAGGTGAAACTGAACATAATGAAGTCGCTTCTGTCCGATTGTTACATAAATTTTAATTCTTCCGTTAGTATTTTTACTGTCTCCACATGTGACCAGGTCGGGGCGGATAATGAAAATGGGGAAGCGCAAGGTGAGGGTGACAAGATGAAAACACCGTGCAGCGATCAGTACGAGAACGGAGTCAAAGTGGAGGCTGCAGGACAGTTATTTAGCGAACAAATGAATAAGTGCGACACCCACAACGGGGAAGCGAATAATAATTCGAATCCAACGTCCGGAGGGGAAGAAGGTAACATTAATGTGAAGATGGAAAACATGAATTCGCTAAAAAATGAAGAGCAGGATCAGGCAACCATTTTGAACGATCCCCTAGAAAGTACCATCAAAAATGAGTTTCAAAATATGCAGAGCAATATTTTGCAGAGGGGAGACATAACCACCGTCACCCCATCCTACATGATGAACGGTATGAATGTGACAACCACAAGTGGAAGGGGAGAAAATAGTGCCAACCAAGAGGGTGCAAAGAATACGGACGACGAACAATGGATCTGCCCATTATGCTCCTACCTAAGGAATCAAATTTTGTTCATCGAAGATTCCACCGCTTTTAAAATTATCAGAAATTTAAGTGGTCCCAGGAAAAAAAAAGAAATTGAATATTTATCCAGATCTTGTGATGAATTTGGTAACTCCTCCTTAGATATAAAAAAAGAATTAAAGGAATATATCCCCCCGGAGGAAATCATCATAAATAAGAACCACCCCATCAGTGAGATTTATAAACATAAATCAATTTTCCTCCTGTTTGATATCGACAAGGATGTTTCCCATTATAAGGATAAGTACAACGTGGAGATTAAGGACTCGCATGCCTTTTTCGAGAATGTCGTTTTGAAGAATACCCATTTGTATAAATACAAAATATTTTTCAATTGCATTGTTGTGAATAAAGTAATTGTCCAGGGTGGAGCGAAAGAAGAAGGTAACCCTAATATTGGTAACAATCGTGGTCACCTCATTGGCTATGATCAGGTGATGCGCACCTCCCAGGTGAACGCAATAAACCCAGAACATCTGAAAATGTTCCGACAGGAACCTTTCCTTGTAAACGAAAATTTGGAAGAAAGTGATGAAGATGATTCAAAGGAGAATGAAAAAGAAAAGCAAAAGGAGGAAAAGGGAGATAGGAGAAGGAGGGATAGAAATTCTAGCCATAGTAAATTATCCAAGAGAGAAGTAAAGAGGAGAAATAGATTAAGAGCCAAAAGAGGGAATGTCCAAAACAACACTATCACCACAAATGATGGTAATGCACCTGTTGTTGTGAGAAAAAGAGGAAGACCCCTGGGAAGCACAAAATTGAACAAAATTAAGATGCTTAGTATGAATAAGAACAACACTAAAACTGAGGACAACAATTTGGAACCCACGTGTAACAGTTTGAGCCTTAATAATGGTCTCCTTAGCATCCCCACCTATAACCAGAATGTGCACCCCGTTAATCCTAGTAGCCAGGTTAAGAGCGAAATGGACTGTGACGCAAACAAGTATGCTTATCAGAATAGCAGCGAAGGAATGATGATCCAGCCGGAGTTCCGTCCCCCAGAGGATTGCAAGGACGTAGATATAAAAATGAGTCTTAAGGATAAAACACTTATTGCACAAAGATATTTTAGCGAAACGAATTCCGATTTGTCCAACTTTATCAACCGCAATTTCCCTTTTTATGAAAACGACACGGATGAGAATAACCTGTTTTTGAAGTATAACTACAGTAAGAATTTCTCCTTCATTTTTAAAATACCCACCTGCTGTATTTGCGAATTTGATTCTTTCTACTTGGGAGGAGGTCCCATCAAGAGGACTAAGAATAAAAATCAGTGGTGTCACATCCGTTGTGCATTAATAAGCAACTGTGTAATTAATGACAAAATTGAAATTAGCAGTAGGGATAAGACCAGGTATAAATGCTCCCTATGCTTGAGGACAAACAACACAGGAATAATTAAGTGTAACATTCCAGACTGTTCTAAGTACTACCACATATCTTGTGCCACATCATCCAATAAGTATCTCATCGAATTGAACGAATCGAATAAGCTAGTTCTGTTTTGCTCTAACCATTCGCAGAGAAAAGCACCGACAGAAATTTTAAGGAAATATCAAATCCTTCGCGAAAAAGAATTTAATAAAAATAAATTGGAAGACAAAGTAAATATGTCCAAAGTTTTTGATGCATACATTTTGCAGTCCTACCTCAAAATTAGTGACATGAAATTATTCAACTTGCTATCCTTATCATCTCTTTCCATTTTCGAAAAATTTGTTTACTTTAACTATGATAAGTACAGCCAAAATTTACAGACCAATATAGGCGTTATGGAAGATTTTAATGATTTGTACCAGGCGTTTGATCAGCACTTGTCCAAGGAGCGCAACGATGTGGTGAGTGGCGTGCTGGACTCAAACAGGGTGAAAAGGCGCATCCCCGTCCCCGAGGTGGAAGCCACCGGGGTGGATAATGAACCGACCAGTACATCGCTCGCAATTGCTAACGGGCCCGATGCGGATGAGGAACAGGGGAAAATGTTCCTCGAACTGGAGGAGAAGAACCGAACGAAGGAGACGACCGTCGATATATTCGACCTAGAAACGATAAACAAAATTAGCACCACCAAATGCAACAACATTATAAGCATAAGCAGCTTCAAAAATATATACAACGAAAACATGCTGGATGAAGATTCCCTCCTCAAATTGCTGACTCATGATTTCTTATACATGCATAAGGATTTACAAGAATTGAACAGCATCATACTAAGCGATAAGTATAAAAAATTAAAGAATTTTGAAAATATTTTATTACTGTATCCTCATTTTAACGATTTCCAGTTGAGGAGGCTGTCGGAACTTATCCTAGAGAAGTATTACATCAACAGTTCCAATTATGAGAATGACGACGCCTTTTTTTCCTTTTTCCTTCAATTCCTCTCCTTGATGAATAATAAAAATTTAATGTTGTGCAGTGTGTGCTTATCCAAGTCGAGTTACTCACAGAAGGGAAGGGATGAGAAGAAATCCGGAACCAGGGGAGACACATGCGCGCTGGAAGGAGGAAATAGTAACATTACGGAGAAGGGCGATTCTGTTAGAGGCACAATTGGAGGAAATAACACTCCCGAAAATAGCAACTACAACACCTGCGGATCTAATTTGAGAGAACATCTGGAGAATAAAAAGGAACGTAGATTAGGCTCCCTTAGTGTATTGAAAAAATGCTCCCTGTGCAATGTGTTCATTTGCTACTTCTGTTGCCACAGAATGAATATCGACATTATTAAGAATTATCTCAACGAGGGGGTGAAATGTAAGCAACCCACCCACTCTGTTGTGAGAGGGACGGAACGCGTTAGAAACACAACTCGCTCCAACAAAGTGGGAAGACCAAGCAAAAACAAGCAAAAAGCGATAATAGATTCCACCATAAATTATAGCGCAAACAACGTAGCGCCAGCAGATGAAAATGGTGAAAATAAAATTGGAGAATCGGTTATTGCCAATGACACGCATAAATTGGCTGTTGACCCAGCGGAGGGGGCCCAATCCGGGGAAAAACAAAATGGAAGCAGAAATGCTGCTGACGATGTAGATGTTGATGCGGAAGCATTTGGTGCGGATGCGCAGGCAGTTTGTCCCATGGAAGGTGGTGCGACGAGTGCCAACGTGGAAGAGGCTGCACAAAATGGAGACGAACCCCAGGACAGGAGAAAATCTAATGATGGCAAAATTACGGACCAACGCGTATCGTCAAAGTTTGAGCAGGGAAAACAACAACACCCGCACGATGTGGCCAAAAGGAACGACAACGATGACGAGTTTGTATGTCCGAGGTGCCAATATTTTCAAGTAAAAAGAAAAATAGGCTTCTGTATGTATTGCCCTAGATTAGATGGATTCCTAAACTGCTTTGAAGATAAGGCCAAAAAGGAACTACAATTTGTCCATCCCAAATGCTTAGAATATGTTAATACAGCCTATTGCAAAAAGAACATGAACGAAACGAAACCTGGAGCAATTAAAAAGGTTTGTAGTTACTGCAGAATTAAGCATGGAATAGTTATCACATGTAGCAACACAGATTGTGATATGTCATTTCATATTTCTTGTGGAATTTTGTTAGGATGCAAAATGGACAATTTTTTTGGTCGCGTGGATATTTACAATCCTAAGAAAGCCTATTGTTTTAAACACACCTTCCAGTCATGTAAAAAAAGCACACTAACAAATTTTATTAACACAAATAAGCTGTTCTTTTTTGAGAATTTTCTCGACTACCCCTTTAATCATTTGTACAATTTCATAATGGGCACTTACATTTTTAAGCAATTAAATAAAAACTGCGTTAACCATTTGATGAAGCCAATCAAGATAGAGGAAAATCCGTGCATCAATACCATTTTCGAAAGGACACAACTGAACGTTTTGAGGAAAGCTACTCATCTCTTGTCGAATGATATTAAAAGAAGTCACAAGAAAAAAATAGGTCTACCGCACGACCTCCATGAGGAGCATATGGCGGCGGGTATCATGCACAATGAGGACAACACAGGTCGTACTCATGATAACAACGGCGAAAATTTTTTTCAAAAAGATTTGAAGTTCCTAATTGAACATCACTCTAAAACATCATCTCACACACAGAGGAACATGCAGGGAGAGGATGCACGTCATGGAGCCAACCACTTTTCTGAGCTCCTCATGGGAAGAAAAGGTGCAACAGATAATGCTAACTTACCACAAGATAAACGTAACGCACTGCAGATGGAAATAGATGCTGGAAAGAATCATTTTGCTACTTCAACTAACAATGCAAGATTCAAAAATGATTCCTCATTTGTTGACGACAATGTAACAGAAAGCGCAGTCTCTCTCTTGTCAGAAAATGAAACAGAAGAACTTCGTTCATTTCAAAATGTTTCATTTTTTAACTCCAGGGCATATCCCCAAATTAACAACATAATGAACAATAGCTATAATAATCAATCGAGAAAGTTTCCTCCAAACCAAAACATGATGATGATGCCCTATTACAATGGTCATGGCAATATGATCCCTAATAATACCTATCCCTTTTACGATGCCAAATGTGAGGACATGAAAAACGCTGGACAAGTGGGCAATTTTGCAAATGCGAAAAACAATCCACAAATGATGTTTTCGGGAAAAAGTAATAAGTATAATCAATTAGAACGAAAGAGAAAGAAATATCTCCTACACCCGAATGACAAAATGGCAAAGAAAAATCTTCTGAATAATGATGCCAATCTGTATAGTGTCAACCTAGACATGAATAGCAAAGGGGATGGAAGAAAAAGAAGGAAATATCGAAAAAATAAAAACGGAAATAATGAGGATAATTTTGAAAATCTCAATTTTAGTACCAACATGTTTAATACGCCCAGTGACCTAATGAAGTCAACACAGATAGGTAGCAGCCATGTGCACCAGAACCCAAGTGCTGCTGCTCAATTTGATGTCAATATGAACAGCACGGCATACCATCTGAACGAGCTTATCGTCAATAAGGACAAATATTCTACGCAAAAGACAAAAGGTACCAAAAAGGAACTCCTGAAAATGAACCAAAATCAATTGAAGGAGGAAAAACTACAGATGATACAAAATGACGGACTCATAAAGGAGGAACAAATTTATTGTCCAGTATGCAAATGCATCTATGAAGAACTCAGTGACGGTTCCCCAGCGGATGGACTAAATTGGATTGGATGTGACAAATGTGAAAAATGGTATCACTGGATCTGCTGCAAGTATTCCATTGACAATCCCCCCGATATGGAAAATGACTGGTACTGCAGTAGCTGTCTCAACAGCTGATGCTGTTTCACCCCTGTCATAGGAACATTCGAATAGCACACAGAGAGTGCATGAAGAAGAGACGGTGGGGTGCGCCCGCAAGGGTGTTTTTGCTCCTTTGTGGCCTACGCTTAGATTTTTATTTATCATATGTTTTTGTTCCCTTTTTTTTTTTTTTTAATTTAAAGTTTTAAATGTTTATGTTTTTGCCACTCTCAGCGTGCTGCTTTGTGTGTGGCCCTTTTTGCATTCCTTTTTTTTTTTTTTAACAAAATAAAACTTTTGTTTTTCGTTGTTACCTTTCATCCCTTACTTTTGCCTTTAATTATTCCTTAACTTTGTCCTTAATTTTTATATTTTCCCGAATTCTACACATTCTCCCACCCGCGTGTGCGTAGGTACGCATGCCAATTCGTGTACACTCGTTTAACTTGTTAAAACAGAAACCCGTTTCGCGTTTAGCGAATATAAGAAATGTGTCTGCATAAGTATCTGCATCCTTTTACGTTGGGGTACTACTCATGCGGAGACCACCAATAGGGCGAGAATTGCGTTATACAGCTTCTAATTTAAGTAGTTGGTAGAAGGCATCTTCCCTTCACCCTATGTTGGCGCGGGGAAAGGGAAGTGGATTATAATTACGTGGCATAATCCGCATAGGTAAAACGCGAAAGAAGAGGGAATCCTCCCGCGAGAAATAACTCAAATATGTGAAGCTTAAAAGTGTTCTCACTATTACGCAGAGATGTTTCCCAAGCAATCGCAATAAGCGTGCGAAAAAAGAAAAAAAAAAAAAAAAAAAAAAAAAAAAAAAGACAACCAGCGACGATGAAGTTGTTAAAAATGGAGTGCCGTTGTGACAATTTGAAGATTTAAAAAATGGTTGGTGGTGCAGCTTCTGCACTAAAACAATGTATTTTAAAAATAGTTTTATTATTAAAAGTGTAACTGGTGACAAAAATTTCTGCCCGTGTAGCCAATTTTTCCACCCGCAGAGGCGCCTCAATAGGAGTTGAAAAACACCTTGCGTGCCTGTTCATATGTAAACTCGTTAACAATATAATCGCTAAGCGACATGCATATTCCGTTCAGCTTCTGATTGAACAACTTAGAATTCTTATACTTGTTAAAAGCACTGGACTCCAAAAAGGTCTCTATCGTTTTGTACTTCTGAATAATGTTATGTGCTTTGACCGGCCCAATGCCCGGTATTTTAGCGCTGTAGTCACACCCTGAAAGGATGCAAAAATCGATGAACTGTTCGTAATTTATGTTTAACTCATTCAGTAATTCATCTTTATTTATTATATGTCTTTTCTTTTTATTCATAATAAAGCGTATTAAATTTGGGGCTCCAAATGCCAATGCGTCCGTATCGTCTGATACCACAATGTCTGTTTCGTGCGAGCACTGAATTGCGCATTCTTTCTCTGCATCATTTTTTGTTATAATGATTGGTATATTCTCCAGGGACAAATAGTTGTAAATATCGTTGGCTGTTTTGGAGTTAATTTTTATAAAAATATTTTTTTTAAACAAATCGTGAATACCATCTTCGTCCACAATGATTTCCATTTTGCACTTCTTCTGGTTCTTTCCTTCGCTCATGCTGCTGATGGTGCTCTTATGCTCCCCAAAGGGTTTGTTCGCATTGTTAGGGGGATTCGCATTGGGGTTTGCGTTTCCGCTTGATCCCATCTCGCCGCTTCCCTTGGTACTACTTGCACAATTTACACTCGGAGTGTCCCCACTTGATGAGTACCCACTCCTCGTCCCACCCCCCTTGGATGCATCCACGTTCAAAATGTCGAACAAATTTTTCTTCTTCCTCAGAGAATCTCTCTCTTTCCACACATGCTTCTTACATTTATAATCCACAGGTTGCAATTCATACCTGGCCCCAATGTCTTCTATAATATAAAGTGTGCTAATTTTTAAGGACTTAAAATACTCATGTTGGTTTTTCAGCAGCTCGATGCTCTTTTTAATGATGTACTGTCTGACCAAAATGTGTGTCGTCAGGTCATTAGCTTTATATCTCTTCTCACGATTTTTGTCATTAATTATATGCTTCCATGCTACGTACATAAATTTGTAAATAAAGAAGGTGCCATCGATTATAAACTTTTTTCCTGTGAAGCTTTTTATGTCATCTATTTTTTTTATCGTGCTCGGAATTTTCTTGTTCACAAATTGGACAAATCCTTTAATGGTCATAATATATGGCTGCCTCGCCGTTCAATCTCGCAAGGAGTGTGCTGGTGCGCAGTGACGGTGCGGTGGACGCTGCGTGTCCGTACGCGTTGGCGGATCTGCCTTCACTTATTCTCCCCAGCTAGGGTGTCTCAAAATAGGAATACTTCTCTGCCGACGATCCCACAGTTGTTCAATCTACCCCTCTGTTCTTAAAACTCACCAGTTTCTGACCAACTACCATTCAACCCTACACACACGTATACAGTTGAGCAAACAGGTTAAATATTTCTGTCAAAACTATATCGCCTTTCTTCTTCGTGATGCTTCCTTTTTTCCTGCCCTTCACACTATACTCTCCATAGAAGCATCCTTCGCTTTACACCATACACAAGGAACAATCATTCAAAATCAACTGCTAAAATTTTTATTTTGATTTTTACAAAATGAACAGTCTATTGTTTTAACACCATACAGTGAAATAGGAAGGGGCAGGGAAATAATACCTGGCTCATTTAGAAGGGGTAAAATTGTGCTTCACTCAGGTGTGCATAAGGGAAATACAAAAAACTCCTTTTCTTCAATTCTTGCCTTTGACTGGCTGAAGATCCTAGGGGAGTAAAACTAGGCGCCTTTACATTGACACATATGAACGGAAATACACTTCCCCCTTTAGTAATACATATTTTCTGAGTACTCCCTGCTTCGTGTCAACAGAAGAGGGAAAATCGCTCAACAGGTCGTATGCATAAGAGTATATAGTACATATTTACTGGCTTGTTACATGTGCGCACGAGTGTAAAAGCGAAGCAATAGGGGGAACTCTTGAGGACCTCAACAGTGCTTCCAAAATGGCACTTGGATAAATGGTGTTAGCTGCCATTTAGCGAAGCGGTAATGAATGTGAGGGGGAAAAGAACAAAAAATGCTCCTCCGGTCATGCACCTACAAAATTGCTATATCATAACCCCCCAAGGGGATACACATGTATGGAATATATATATATGCACGTTTTTTTTTTTTTTTTTTTCCCTTTTTTTTGCATGTGCAAATAAGGTGTAGCCACCACCCCCGCAGGAGTACCCCTTTTTGCATTTTACCCTGTTGAGAGGTATGCCCCAGTGTGTGCTTAGCAGATCCCTCTGCATGTTCACCAAGTTATTGTACACCCTGTCAATGCTCTCCACGCGGTACTACGCATTATACGCGCCGGCTGTGAGCAAAATTTTATTTTCTTTACGCCGCTTTATAACCCCCAAATGGTGTATGGAATAATAATCCACTCGTCCGAATGTCAAGAGAAATACTATTTCAGCTATTACTACGATGAAGAGAAAACTGAGGAGGATGAAAAGGAGGGAGAAGAAGACGACTGCATTAGACAACGGGTATGACACTGCAAGAAAGTCACAACACTTGCGGAACCCTCACAAAGTTACAATTTCCATACACACAAATATCTGCCAAATTGCACAAACGCCCTTTTATAGACCATTATTAAAAGAGTCCTTGAAGAAATAACTTACTATGAAAATGAAAAAGAGAAAACGGATAATACGATAAAGAATCACAGGGAGAAATATTTGGATTTGCTGGACACGTTCCTCTCAAAGTAGGGAAGATAAAAAGTTGCAAAAAAAACAAGCGCTATATAAAAGTGCAACAAGTGCACGTTCTCATTTCAACACGTGTGCATACTTTTACTTCCCTATAGGAATAACAATGACGAAGGAAAAATAAACAGAGAGGGTTTCTTCCGAATTGTCGATCCCTCCCTTTTCAAAAATAGGATTAACGTTCTATGGAAAGTTTTGAACAAGTACGGTGTCTAACTGACTTTTCATTCGAAGGGAGGATATCACCCCCCTATGCGGAGCATCCACGTCCTTACTCAAAGTCGCTTAATATCTCCACGCCACCTTAACAGAATTTGCTACACCCTGGTATTCTATGCCCACGAAAACATTCACCTGGTTAGAAGATGACAGGCCTAAAAAAAAAAAATTGTCTTTCTGTATGTAGTGTAAAAATGAGGAACATTTTTATTTTTTCATGCAGGCGGACTATTTCTTGCACACATTTATAAGCGCCCTGCGGGAGCAGCAAGACGCAGTGAAGAGGAAAAAATACAAAAGTGACATGGTTATATCATTTATACCAACCCCATACACTGTTAATCTACGCAACTGCAGACGTTTCGATGTTGCCCCTTCTGGGAAGACAACAGTTAACAAATGCCACCTGGACAACTACCTTTGTTGCTCTCTTTACTCGATACCAGTTAAAAAAGTGTTGAACTGCCTTTTTCCCCGCAGGACCTTTTTCACCCCGATACTGTGCTGGCCGTGCTGTACTTCTTCCTACCAAGTTATAAAAAAAAAAAAAAAAAAAACATAAGCACCTTATCCCCGATGGTGCATATGTTAAAAGGGCACACGAAACGGACCCCTCCGTGCACCCACATTTTATGTATATACCTATCTTCACTCATATATAAGTAACCCTCCACCATGTCACTCCATCCTTCCAACTACTTTCACGTGCAGAAGGGCAACTGCTGCTGATAAATGAGAACCACGCAAAATTTCTGAACAGCCAAGTTAAGCAGTTCCTCGAGGATAAGACACAGTTGAACCCCAAGGATTCCAAACAGGCTTGAAATAAGCATGCTTCAAATAAGCATGCCTGTTGTCATTGTTCCCACTTGTGCATCGAAAAACTGCTAACTGCTCGATGGATTTATCGAGAAGAAGATAATGAACTGAATGAAGAATGTTGTTATTGTGTTATGTATAAAAAGGGGAGATATACCACCTGCTAAATTTGAGGGTAACCCTTTCCCCCTTTGAAACAATACATATATCGTGCACGTATCCATGTACACACACCGGTGATTCCACGCCTCAACATCGCCCCCTTCTCCCTCATCGTGCTCACATTCCTATGAACAAATTCGTCGCGCATATAAAATTCACAAAGTTAGTCTTAAAAATATTTTTCATTTTTTCGTAAAGGTATAATTTTGTATTGTATTCTTTTTTAGGCGAAAAAAAAAAAAAAAAAAATACATTTGTGAGTACGTAATGTGCGTAAATATGTGTCTATATTGATGCATACACATATGCATAAACACACTGCTACATCCGCGTTACAAAAAAACTCAAAACTCTTTATAAAAGGAGTGCACTACTTAGTATGGTTCCCTCCACCCTGCAGAAGAGGGGGCATTTGTGGGGGGACGACGCTCCCCGAGCAGAGAGCTTTATTACTTATTGAGGGATAAAAAATGTAAGTCCTTCCCGCGATGCCTCCTCGATAGTGCATAAACGCACAAGTTGCACAGAAGCAAATGGCTAGGGGGTCGTACACATGGAGAGCAAAATGCATAAACTAATTAGAGGTGTCACCAGCCCCTCGAAAGTTACAAGTACAACCCTTCGGGGATGTTGCCCTTTTTCTGGTATAGTGCTTTATCCCTTGCCTTACGCAAGTCCACCTGCGTAATTTTCATTCTTCTTTCACGCAGAGCCAACAACCCTGCCTCGGTACATATGGCCTTAATATCTGCACCGGATAATTCATCCTTGGACATGACAAATTCTTCCAAGTCCACATCTGGGGACATGGTCATTTTGCTTGTATGGATTTGGAAAATTCTTCTCTTGGTTTTTGTGTCCGGATTTGGTAGCTGTATTTTTCTGTCTATTCTTCCTGGTCGAATTAAAGCCGGGTCTAGTGAATCAATTCGGTTAGTTGCCATAATGACCTTAACATCTCCCCTGGAATCAAAGCCATCTAACTGGTTTAGTAGTTCTAACATGGTTCTTTGAATTTCTCTCTCTCCTCCACTAGTCGCTTCATATCTCTTCGTACCAACAGCATCAATTTCGTCAATAAAAACGATGGAAGGTGCATGATCTTCCGCCACCTTAAACATTTCTCTAACTAACTTTGGTCCATCTCCTAAATATTTCTGTATTAATTCTGAACCTACAACCCGTAAAAAAGTTGCTGATGTTTCATTCGCCACAGCCTTGGCTAAGAGAGTTTTTCCGGTCCCGGGTGGGCCATACAATATAACTCCCTTTGGTGGTTTAATACCAATATCTTCATACAACTCAGGATGAGTTAATGGCAATTCTACTGCTTCCTTAATTTCTTGGATTTGCGATTCTAGCCCACCAATGTCGGCATAGGATTCTAAAGGAGCTTTCTCCACTTTCATAACAGAAACTAATGGGTCCACTTCATCCAACAATATACCAACGACGCTGTTCGTTTTGTTATTTAGAAGAACTGAACATCCTGGCTCCAATAAATCTTTATCAACAAACGATAGTATATTTACATAATACTCTGGTCCTACGGACGTGGCAATAATTCCATGATTTTCGTCAATCAATTCTTCCAAGGTTCCAACACTCATTGGAGAACCTCTCAAATCATCAATTTTGAGTTTAACATAATTTTTATCTTCCGTCGTTTTTATTTGTTCTTGGTTTGTAATAAATTCTTCTTCCAAAAGGAGGTAATCTTTTATTCGTTCCAACTTTAAAAGTTTTAATCTGCATTTTGTATTTGGGGTCACGGTCGGTAATTTGGAATGTCCGGTGACTCCTTTTTTTTTTTTTTTTCTTTTGCCTATATGTGAGGGCGGTGCGCTTTCTAGCTTTTTTTTTTCCTTGTCTTTTCCTTTATCTTTATCATCTTTTTTGCCTAAAGGGGGGGGGAGAAAAAAGTGAAGTAATTACTGCGTGTGCCTTCCACACAAGTACGTGTTTTCCCCCACTTACGGGGCGCTTTTTTTTTGGTGAAATTCTACTCCTCACACGGCGTTGAGGGGGTAACAGTATGCATACACGTGGGGATATACACACAAACGCTCTATCCTGCAAATAATGGTAGCATTCCGCCCACAGGGCGATTTTACAAACCATAGTAAAAATCCCCACATGTGCGTCCCCTCTTCGCATCGACGCAGTTACCACAAAAGATATATTTTTTTTTTTACCTAAATATCCGTAGGGGTTGTTGTTCATTCCACCTTGCATGTTTCCCATGGTGTCCAAGAGTTACGAAAGTATGTGCATGTGGGTGGTGTTGTATATGAAGCTATACACACTTATATGCTCCACTTCAGTGTATAAATGCGGCACGTGTGTTCCCCTTTTGCTCGTGCCTTGTTCTTCTGGGTTACAATGTAGCACGTGGGGATTTGGTGCAAAGTGATTACAAGCAAAGAGGGATGCAGTAAAAGTTGTAAATATATGCGCACGGTGTGGCAATTATGTATGAATGTTCGGGCGTGTGTACAAATAGAGTTGGTACGCGTTCTTATCATAAGCAGTTCATGCCGATTTATTGTGCCTTTTTCGATGCGCAAAATTTGTACTCACATTTGGTCAGCTGTTCGCTTAAGCTGTTGCTCGTGCGTTTTTTCACTTTCCCTTTTATCTCTTCGTTTCTGTTTAATCTTTACGCTTTATGCGATAGTATTTTTCTTCCTCTTTCAAGTTCAGCGGCAGCCCCCCTCTTTCAGCACTCACACATTATTTGTTCTTCTCTTCCTCCCAAAAAAATGTAGAGTTGGAGCGATAAAAAGTGCCCATCCAAAAGGGATACCCCTTCGTACAAAGTTGTGTTCACACGTTCATGCATCCGCTTACGCATACAAATGTACGTAAGCATGTATTTGTGAATATGTACACGTACATGTATGCACGTTTACATGAGTTAAGAAGAGGTTATTTATTTATTTTTTTTTTTTCCGTTCTTTTGGCGAAGGGAAAAAATATATATATATATATAAATATATTAAAAATGGCACAAGGACGAGTATTTTTGCTAGGCCGTACCTCCAGCCAAAAAAAAAAAAAACAAAAAAAAAAAAGCAAATGAGGGGAGACTTCCAAAAAAAAATGCTTCCCTTTAAGCGGTGCACATGTATAGTTCACCTGTGCTGCACGCATATGAATATAAATATACAATGTATATATTAATTTACGTACGTACGCACGTTTGCGCATTGTACGCGCGTGCTTGCCCCCAACCGTGCCAAGCAAACTTAAAGCGCTGCATTTATGGCCACTTCACGTGCGCGCGGTTAACGCGTTGCAATATGATCTTTGGGAAAAAAAAAAAAGCAATACTCCGATTTATACGCCACCACCACCATTATGCCTTGGCATAGGACTCATGTGTACGTTTCACATAGGCGTGTTTGAAGTAAAAACGTACAACAAGCATACTTATGCATACCCATGTTTGCTGCGCGCATGGCCAAGACATTTTAATCTAATCTGTGTACATGATTACACAATTATGTGTTCATTTTCCCCGTCGGCTTTTTTCCCCTGGTGAACTTTTAATGCATACCTTTCGCAGATATTTATGTACACGCATACTTGCATACGTGCACTCGAACCTACATGTGAGGGTATGCTTTGTGTTCCGCCCAACCTTTTGATGATACCTTAGCATGTCGCGTGCTGTGTGTCAATTCCTCGCTGATGTTATTACAGCGTTTGTAAGAAGGGAAAAACAAAAAAACATTACTCCTTTTTTTTTTTTTTTTTTTTGCTGCATCTTTGAGAGCAACTTTCTCAGAACGAGCTATAATGTGAGTCTGCTTGGTTGCATTTTTTTTTTTCATTCTTTTTTTTTTTTTTGCATATATGTTTTACCACTAGGTGTTTCAGTATAACCAAAGTAATGCTCCTTCCTGTTTCTCCTTTTTTTTCTCCCTGTTCTTTCCCATTCAACCCTGTTGCTTTGTTAAGTTTTGCTTAAACTTATTGTATTTTTTTCTTTTCCATTCTCGTACGAGAATCGCAACAGACATTATTTGCCATTATGTAGCACATAAAAACTGATGCAACTGTCACACAAGGAAGTAACCACATGGGTAACGACGAATTGTATATGCGATGAGATAAATGTTTTTTACACGTTTTCGTTAGTAAGGGAACCGTTTCATTGTTCTTTTTTTTTTTTTTTTTTCACAATCTTGTTATAAGCAAATGTGTCATACCTATAGTGATTATGTGTTTTCCTATGTAACTGTTTTACAATTATTCAAATTGCGCACTTGAATGCGTACGTGCAATTGCGTCTGTGAATGTATTATATGTCCCCCTGGGGCGATTTGTAAATTTGTACATACGCTTTTCTCTTACACAAGGTGTGTTAAAAACATAATGCCATTAATTATCTTTTTATTCGCTTTGCACATATAGCATATTTCTTTTAAACCCTTTTGATGTTCCCCCTTCAAAGCGTATACATGGCACGCAAACGATTAACAGAAATGAAATATTTGGAAAATTCACATAAAAAATAACATTACAGCAGAATGTGCATATGAAAACAAATTACAAACTAAAAGCAGGAGAAAAAAAAAAAAAAAAGGGCGAAGCAAAAAATAGCATATATCGCTACAATGGACTGGAACAATATGGGAGAATTGCGTAAATGTCCGCATTCATAATGTATGTATGTTTGTATAGTCCATGTGTCACATGCGCGCATTTGCCTGTGTAAATATATGTGTTTAAAGCATTTGTGTAATTTCGTCCTTTGGTTAGAAATGGTTAGTCATAAATTGTTCTTCCCCCACACTGCGTTATGCTGCATTTTTTGCATAACCTTCTTTTATAACCTTTTAGTAAAATTTTAGAAAATTTTTTGCAAAATATATTTTTTTCTGTGTGTTTAAAATTTGTAGTTTTTTTTTTTTTTTTTTTCCCTGTGTCCATTTGTGGAATTAGCTGACCAGCAGAGCTAAAATCTCGTAAGCGCACAGCTCTCTTGTGACAGTTTTTAAATGCGTTTAAATTTCTCCTTTTCGTAATTTTCCCCATTTAGCATTTCTGCGCATCTGCGCATATTTTTTTTGTGTCCACACGCAGAGGAATGTGCACGTTGCCGTACTTACACTTAACAGCGCGTGTTTTTAACCCCACACAGTGGCTGACCGTTTCACTTCACAGACAAAAAAAAGAAAAAAGAAATTATGGCTGTGTAAAAATTGTCAAACTGTGACATGTCCATGAGTGTGTTAACCCACATGTGCGTAACGTGAAACGCGCAACCTCTAACGTTAAAACATGGGCTGTACAGACGCACGTATGTATATATACGCACATATATACGGATATCTGGGGCATGCGGAGTTACCTGGCGTGCACACCCGTTTATGCACACCCGTAGGAGTCGTGTATGATGCGTTTTGAGCCCCACATTTTTCAGTCCCCCTTCCCTCCCCCCAATTTGTGCTTGCCCTCAACGAAAATAAAATGAATATAAGATTGGTGTGTGAAATAATAGCCATGACTTTGCTACATGTCATATTTTACAAGGTGTCCATTTATTACTTATTGAGGTATTTAGACATTTTAAATCATTCGAATAAATTTAATAAAAACATTTTTTTCATAACCTTTTTAGTTTGTATGTCTATATTTTCCCTTTTCCTTTTTGAATTATCCAATATAGTATCCAATGGTACCATTACGTACATTTGGCACATTGACATATGTATCCTAGTGTTCTTGCTGTATATAGTTATTCCAGTAGAGTTCATCAACACTATATTTGACTCGAGTAATTACAAGGAAATCCTGTCCCCAGAATTTAACTCACACTCACACATCAAATTGATAAAAAAATATTATATAAAAATAAGTGCCATTTATAAGGAGCAAAATGGAATAAGCAAAAAAATAAAAAAGCATTTTTTTCTCATTCGAAGTATCATATTTTTATCACTTCTATGGCTAAGTTTATACAAATTAAAAAATATGATTTACCAAAAAAATTACAATTATGTTATAGCAGATGATAACACGCTCAATATAAGGGAATATCTCTTGTATAGTAAGAACGTTGAAATGCGGAAGAAAAATCAGAACAAATTCTTTAATAAAACCATTTTTTATTTACTAGAAAGGAGGAAACAATGCTTTAATTACTACTCCAGCGCATTTCGAGACTTCCATCGGTATTACAACAAGGGGCAAAGCCAAGGGGGACAAAGGAAGGAACAAAAAAAATCTATATTTAGAAGATGTATTGACAGAATCTATAACTTTATAGGAATCATTTGTTTTATGTTTCTACATTACTTAATGTTATTGTACAAATTCGTCATCGGAGAGCTCCTCATAAATATCTGTGCCCTTGGAGTAACGACCAATTCTATAGTCGCAGGTATATCCTCCATGTATTTTATTTACGACTACATTATCACCTTTGTCTATTATGTACATATTCCGAAAATACAAATGCAAATTTATAATATTGAAGAAAGCATATTAATTAACTTCACTAATTATATGTTTAAAAAGGAGGAACTCCAAAGGTTGCAAAGTAACTTTGACATACATTCAACAAAATTTCTGTATGATGCGAAAAAGGCAGGATCTCCTGGGGGGAATGGCCTTCCTGCTAAGAATACTCCCCTGTTGGAAGTACCAGAAAAAAATAATGCAGAGGGATATGTGGAAAAGCAGTTTCCATTCAAAGAGGAATCCGAAAAAAATAGTGAACAAGGATTTAATGCGCGAAGTAGAACTGCCACAATGAAAAAAAAAAAAAAACCTGTGAAGAAATCTTCCGTCCTTGTCAACTTTACAAACCGATTAAAAAATATGTGTACCTTTAAAAATAGTAGCTTCTTAAAATATGTAGATAGTGGCGGTCAAGTGAGAACCACCGACTTTACCTTTTTGGAGGACAAGCTCAGGAACTTCAAAGCAAATAACAAGAAACAGAAGAGATTAAGTACGCACAATTTTGAACAACCAAAAAATAAAAAGAAAAGTGGAAATTTCAGCGACCATGAATCAACTGTTATTAACTATTTCTATAAAAACATAAATAAGGATAATGTGCATCCTTTGAAGAGGTCAAATAGTTGCCCTCATTCCTTTATCGAAAGTCATGACGCCTCGTCTGACGATGAACCTAGTGTGGATGTGATTGAGGATAGGAAGTTAAGAAAGTACGCTTCCCTAAATGTAATGTTTGACAGTGACATCGCCTCCTCCAAGGAGGAAGGCCCCAGTCGCACGGGGAGTGGAGGCGACAGCGGTGGTGATGCGGAAGCTGATAAAGGTGGTGGTCGTGGCGGCAGCAGTGGTAGTGGTGCTGATAGCGGCGGCGATAGCGGCGGGAGCCGGCACAAGGATAAACGCAGCCGCGATGAAGGAGAATACGGGGAAGACACGCCCAAGACGCCAAACACGCGCAGGGCAGGCACCAAAGTATACTTCTTCAAAAGTATCAGCTTCCCAGTGAACAAATTCGAAACAGCCAGGTACAACGACAAAAAGAAAAAAATGGAGCGCATTCAATTTTTGTACGAAATGGAAAAGAATTTCCACGTAAAAAATAAAGCAAGCATTGATGACAGCGAATTGAAGGACGAGCCCAGCGAACGGAACGACACCCAGGCAAATGAAGAGCACAATATGTATGACTCGTGTAATGAAGAAATGCGCAAAATGCAAGACGTTGAAAATTACAATAAATTAAAAAAAGAAATAGAAAATATTGTGTACACAAATACGAGTATGTATTATTCGTTAAATGCAATATTGAGCAGGAAGTTTGAAATTCAAAAGAATAAAAATTGCTTGGTGGGAAAAATTAATGTCTTTTTAAATTCGGTCATGTTTTTAGCAGTCATTTATAAAATTATTATGTCCATTTTGAACATTATATTTATAAGAATATATATACGGGATCCCTTTTCCAAGATTATTGAAAAACTATGTTTATTTTTTAATATAAAATATAATATAGCCATAATTTATGGGCCATATATATCTTTATTGTACATTTCGTACATCGTAGCAATTAACATGAAGAAATTTTTACAACAGGTTATGCAGATATCGACTTATTTTTCTTTTTATTTTAAACTTTTTTCAAATATGTGGATTTTGTTAATTTCCGAATTAATGGGCCTCTATTTTGTGACCAACTCTTTGCTCTTAACTTCCTACATTCCTGTAAACTACAATCACATTATGAATTTCGTCATGGGAGATAATTATGATTATAATATATTTCATTTGCATTCTGATTATGTTTTCATCATATCCTTTACCTCTACGTTAGTTTTTTGTGTCCTTTACATGTTTTATTATTATTTTTTTTAAGTCTCTCGCAGCGTTTGCACCGCATTTGTTAACAATTATTTACATTGTGAATGTGTGTGCACTTTCGTTTATCGTTCGCGAATGGAAATTCGGATCTTCCTTTTTCTGTTACCTTCTCACTTTTCTTCGTTTACTTTTTTTTTTTTTTTTTTTTTTTTTTTGTCACAGCGCCTTGCCCGAATGTTTAACACGAGCATATGGTATCACCTTTTGACTTTTTAATTCGTTAGACTTAATTCGTTTATAGTCCTCTTTCACTTTCCATTTTACGTCGCTTAGTTTTATCGTTTTATCGCTTTATGGTTTTATCGTCTTATGGTTATATTTGCCGCGCTCCTCCACAGCGGGCCCCTATTTTTTTTTTTTTTTTTTAATTAAACTTAACATAAAGGGCACGTACACGTGTCAACTTACATGCACATATGCATATGTATATAAGCCTGAGCAAACATATGTGTTGTGCAACCATTGACAAAATTTTTACCTTCTAATATTACAACACTGTATAGGGTTATAAATGGGTAGACGGGAAACTGTCGTGGTGGGGGGTTTGCATTGCGACGGACATGCCAAGAGGTGGTCATTCTTCTGCCATTTCGCCATCAATTTCGTGTAGTCGTGACGCTTAAGACAATTTTTCCGTCAACCCTATTCCTCAGTTGGGGTTTAACCCCTATTTTGATATTTTTTTCAAACTAATGCAAATTTTAATTAATCCTTTTTTTATTTTTTAATTTTTAAACACCATGATGAGGAAAGTCCAACGCGGAGTTACACCCAAATTGGCATCTTTCGCATGGGGAACCCTTTAACATAAATGTGCGTCTATCTGTTTGTTCCTCCTTTTTTCCTCCATTAAAGGCGTTGCAATATTTACGGGAGGTTCTATATAGATAGTTGATAAATTTACTGCCCTTCACGTGAAGTCATGCGTACAAACAACATCGCACATGCATCAATTCCTGCACGCGCAGTTATCCCGTTGCATGGCCCGTGAGAGTGGCAACACAACAGATATGCCCCTGTCCAAAGGGTGAAAATACATTTAAGAACAAAATTTTGGGCCTCAATTTAATGCGAATAGTTTTTATTATGAGGAAAAAAATCCATTTTTATGGTAAAGACAGAGTGACCATTATTTATATATACACACCGACTTTTTTTTTTTTTTT